TCCTACCCTGTTCGGTTAGCTGAGTATTTTTTTTTTTTTTGGCTTATATATTGGTAAATTATGCATATTTTGCTTTAAAGGTGGTTGGTTGAATTATGTTGTTCTTATGTTCCGGTTAAGGTTTTTTTAAGTCTTTAGTTAATCTGCATGCAGTAGTTGTGAATTATCAACAATTCAAAAGTTTAAGTGGCGCTAGGCCTAACAAGGCCTCCATTTGTTTACATTTGAAACTCTTAGCACAAAAGTGAATTAAGTCCAAGGAGGTTAGCATGAACGGAGTAAGCCTTCTCTGTATGTCCCGTGCAATGAAAATGAAGCCACGAAACATCATGGTATGACGTCACGCTTATTATGGCCACTGCCATAGGCTTACTACTAGTTGGTTTTGTTTACATTTTAATCAATGTTGTCTATGTGTTAGCTATTCATTATTCAACATTTATTTACAAATCTCTTTTTCTAATTTTAATACTTAACGTAAATGATTTTCTACTTAGTATATAGAAAAACCACAAGAATTGCAAATAACTGTTTCAAATTTAATAAAACCTAGATACATGAAAATGTGTGAACGTAACTGCAAGACCTACATGGCAAAACCTAAAAGACAGTGAAAGTTTCAATGATGTGTTATGAAAATTTTGCTTAAGGACACTTTCCTGAGCGTGCAGACACTGATATTTGCTCTCAGAGTCAGTGTAATTTTTTTAAGAATATGTTTTGTAGTCTTATCAGTATGTTGTACGGTGGCTATGGAACATGGACCTTATAAGAAAGAACATGGACCTCTCTTATAAGGTCCATGCTATGGAAGCTGTGACGTCACTTTGATGAGATTTTCCTTGGCTTCATGTTTGTGATGTTTTATATACAATCTCACACGGCAATCAGCAAAGCAAATTTTGTGCAAATATTGTGAACCTTTCTTTACAGTTGCTCTGTATTTTTAAAGTACCAACAATTTTTTAATTCGTTTAACTTTTTATTTTTTAATTAATTATTAATTAATTTTTTTTCAATAACATTATATTTTAGTTTAATAATATGTATATTATTCTTAATACTTAAGTTCTAGAAACTCAAAGAAATTTTTAAATTTACTTCGCTTCTATGCAATTAGTGGTGTTCATAAATCTACCTTACTTACCTAAAAATGCTAGGTACTTTACTTTCACAGTTTATAAGCAGAAATAAAAATTTCCAATAACATGGAATTTAAATATCATAAGAATCCAAGGTACTTTTCCGTTTTGCCGGCGCAAGCGATAAAGTCGCCAATAATGGTACAGCCGATGCCCTGAATATTCTCGTGGTAACCTTTAAGCCCATTTTCAAAACAAGTGCACTTTTCTTATCATTGATTTTTTCTTTCAATATGGCATAAAATTACATAGAATTTTATCAGATAGTTCAGTTTTTTGTCAAGGCCATTTTTTTAAGTAATCAGGATGCAACACAGCGCTTAACCCGAAGCCGAAATATAGAAAAGGTAAAGTCAAGGGTTAAATTCTCAATTCTAACGAGAATGCATAGCTAGTTAAGCATGCAGTTTTACATAATTCTGAGTAAGCTATCGTACGAAGTAAATATCTGGCATTTAAACTGTGTTCCAAATTAAGAACGTGAAATTAATATATAATTATTGAGAGCAGTAGATTTTTGTAGAGTATTTACGTGAGATGAGATCGCTTGGGGTCACGTGATATAAAGGCGAATCACGGTTTAACCATGAAAGCATAGTAAATTCTAAATTAATGTCTTTTTACAAAATTATTGTCTTTATTTTTGGCTTTTATAAATTTTAACGATATAAAATGTTATCTCAAAAAAAGAATTCTTAGAACTAACATTTTTTAAATATTTTTATGTGATATGTATGTTGTCGCCAATAAAGTCTGCTTGGCGATATTTGCGCCGGCGAAACGGAAAAGTACCGAATCCAAATCCCGTAAGTTAAACACAGAAACATCTGGTGGCAATAAATGCAATCGACCACTGAATTTCCGTACGCTTAAAAATCCAACGCAATAGTATTTACTCTATCTATTCTAACGTCTTTGATTCAGTCAATCAGTGCGCTAACTTCAGTGTCTTTTTGCCCCTTTTTTTTGTCTTTTTGTGAGATCATAAGTTAATTAAAAAATTTTTGCATTGAATTTGGTCTTCTTTGCCGTCGGCCAAATTTTTTTTTTTTTTTTTTTTTTTTTTTTCCTTAACTGTATTTGGTTTTAGGTTTTTCTGTATTTTACAATTTTTAATGAAGCTGAGTTTTTACTCGTCTTTGCCTTACCTTTAAATGAGAACTGAATTAATTGAATGAGAAATATATCTCTAATGAAATTCGAGGATATAAGTTTAAATGACGTACAGAAAAAAATATGTATAATTTAAAAAGCCGTACAAGGAAATCATATGATGCCCACATCAGATATTTTTTAAAGTGTAAAATTAAGAAAATAAGAGATTTGTAACAACGTTTATACCACTAATTGAACTACGATTCGAATCAAACGAAAATTGTCGCCAAACAGTGCGATTTAACGCCAGTAATGGATAAGCGTGAATAACGCTTTGGCTTTATAACCTGATTAATTCTCAATAAGTCGGTTTAATTTTTGTAGAAAACAATATAAGTTAATGGCTGTTTATTTATTTTTTAACATTGTTTTTAGCTCAAAAGGCGTTAGCCCAGAAGGGCTATTAATTTCGATTTGACATTTTGCGTCCAAAAGTTTAAATCTGAGAAACACATTTCAAATTGTTGCCACCAAATATTATCGCCCTGTATTGTATTTAAAGAAATTAAATGGTGAACAACCTGCATAAATGTATATGTTTCTCACATTGTGATAAAATAACGGTACCTAGAGCCGTCAGATTTTGAATAACGTACGTCTCCACCTGAATATGGGCATATGGAAGCCCGATTTTGGAATTTATTTTATTATCTGTTTCATATTATGACTACACTGTACGGGGAAAAAAGAAAATATATATATATATATATATATATACTAAAGAAATATTGATTATATTATCTCCTAAGATTAATTTTAGTAGAATTATCTAAAAAGAGTGAATCCATAGTAAGTTTAATTCTGAAAATTTTTTAAAGTAACTTGAATGTAAATTGTTAAAAATGTTTAATGGGGACTTGAAATTAAATCATGAATAACAAAATTTCAATTGTAAAAGAAATTTAATTAAAATCAAGTACTTAAATAAAAGCAAGTAATCAATTGCCATTGATCGAAATTAGTTGACTTTTCAATGGGAACAAACCAACTTCCGTTTAATGAACAATAATTAAGAAATAAATACGAAGGTGTTTCGTCCTTTACTCAAGTAATAAGGCGATGACAAAAACCATTACGGAGCACTAAAGAACTCATTCTGATTAAGCATTTTCGCTAATTCAATTTTGAGTGAATAAATCAATATTTCGTTATTAAATAAATTATTATTAACTTACTTTGCAGCAATTGCGCAAGTTGTAGAATAACTCGATTTCGCACTAAGTGAATTTAAGATCATACATTTGATATATATATATATATATCGGAAATTTTAAAGAAGTGCTCTCTTAAAATTATAATTGCGATATTGCTCATGAGTTGAAATTTAGGATTTAAGTGCGAATAACATGATATTTACTAAATAAAAGTAACACGCTGAACGTTAAAAAAACGCCCCTTTGAGCGTAATATAAAACCTGAAAGCTTTCAGATTTTTTATATGGTATTATTTTTATATTTTATTCATCTCGGAAATATGATAAATTTTGGGACTTCAACGGAACAGCATGTAGCAGAGTATTTCCAAATTTACGGCATCCTAGCATCAACAATAGTGCGATTACGTTAACGTGGATAAACACTGTTCGCAAGGCAATCTGAAAAATTGACCAGCGATTTAAGTTTTTTATATATTATATCCATAACTTGTATATGTTGATTGATTAAATCAGGGTTTCTTAAACTATTTTCAGTCGCGACCCCTTTTTTACCACTGAGATTCTTTCGCGACCCAGGACCCCATAATATTTATAAAAATTTTGTGGGACACCATAAGCATTGCGCAAATCCGACACACGCATGTGTGAAACTGTCAATTTTTTCACTTGTTACTGTAATATAACTATTGCAGTTTTAAGTTATTAAATTTAATTTCTAATTTTAAGCATAGAACAATGTGAAAATTTTAAATAAGTAACAGACGAAATGACAGCGTCACGTGGAAAGAAAGTAAAATAAACGTTTCTATTATAAAAAGAATGCGTTGAAACGTTTTCCGTTTTTCTTTGTCTGCATTGTCTTATCTTAATCTAATTTCAGGTACATTGTGTAAAAATATTTGGTAATTGTAAAATTATTATAATAAGCTAAAGAAATATCAAAACTGCTAAATTTTTTAGTGACCCCTGCTGCAGATCCCGAGATTCTCCCCTGGGGGTCGCAACCCACAGTTTAAGAAACGCTGTATTAAATAAAGCGATCTGTTCCTTCAAACTTCTGCCAAAATGACGGGCGCAAATTTGGCTAGATCACCGCCAATTTTCATGGTCAATGGAATTTCGTAATAGATTGTGATGTTTTTGTTATCATCTGTGTATCGTCCGCTTGTTAAGTATTTATTTTAATATAAGGACGTTCGTTTTTCGTAAATACAAACGATATGCTAATACAATTTGTGAGTGGCAGCAATATTTAATTACAGATAATGTTTTAGAATGCGAGATACTCTCGATCTGCCTGGTTATTAGATGCTATAAATAAAGACGTCTTTATTTGAGAATCTTTGAACGTGTAATGTTTCTTTATTAACGCCTTTGTGGAGGCTGGGGCTGAAAGATAGTTTAATAGTAGAAAATTCGGTGAATTTTCGGATTGCATCTTAAGTTTTACTTCATTTATGTCTGGAATGCCCTTTTTTCTTACGAAATCTCACATAATTTAAATGTAGGCTTTTGATACTCAAGTTAATAACAAATAAAATGACTCTTTTTATAATATTAAACCAGAAATTTTTTCTTCATTCATTTGGGGTTTCTACCATTAAGTGATTTCTTTATACGCTCAGTTATTCGGAATTTTCGCGTATCCCGAGTTCAGCATTTTCCGAAGTTTCCGGATGGTCGAGCTTTTACTGTAAATAGTGGACGACAGTAGTTCAGAAAAGTTGGAAGCAACATGAAACTGTCCAGAAGGGTTAATGGATTTTTGCGTTTTAAATCTGCACGTAACATTGTTATTCAGAAATTAATTGATGTAACATTTATATAATTCTTTGTTTCTTCAGTTCTGACGAATTAAACTTAAAAATTCTTCTCTTGTTTTTGGATCTTCCCTGAAAACTCCTAACATTGTGCTTGTTATTGTCTTACTGTTCAGCTTTTGTACTCCTCTCATCACCATGCACATGTGTCTGGAATGAAATGTTAATAACTTAAATAAACGCCATTTATTTTCCAGATTAAAATTATTACGTATAATAAAATTTAATACTTACGTCGCTTCTATTACAACACCAACTCCTGTGGGTCCAATAGCTTCAGTTACAGCTACAGCTATCTGTTTAGTGAGACGTTCTTGAACTAGGAAAACAAAAATAATGTTGTATAATTAGTTTGCTTTAAAAGATAAATATTATTTCATTAAATACAGTTTAGTTGCTTTTTATACTATATGAGTAAAATCCTCAGATTATACTGTCGCCTGAGATCAAACAATTTTACTTCTAGCTGATCAGAACTATGTTAGGACAATTCCAAAGAGAAGCAAACAGTAATCTTTTTAAGCTTTTTGGCATTTGTATTTTTCAACCGGATAGACATTTCTGATTTGAAAAATTAACACAAGTATAAAAATACTTTTAAAAAGTACTTTAAAATAAAACTAATGAAAATTTGATGGATTATTATTATTATTATTATTTTAGGACAGGACAGCTCTAATTCTAGAACAGGAACAATTAAATTATTTTAATAAAAGTAAAAGAGTAATTTAAATACTTTTGTAAACAATTTACATCACTGCCATCCAGTTAAAAAATTATAATAAACGCGATGGCTTTTACAATTTATTACAACTATTACTCTAAGAGAAAATTTTTTTACAAATATATAATTAAAGTTTTAAAAGGTGTATTTTACGGTTTTTGTTTCATAGTGTGATTTTTTTAATAGGGCTTTAATTCGATCAAATAAAAATTTGTGTTTAAAGCCAATAATTTTTTTTTTCATTTCCTTTTGAAATTGCATAAAATAAAATTATGCAAAATGTTTATTTTCATTGATATTCGTCTTTGTGCAAAACTATTTTGTGAAAAGCAAAAAGGTGTATAGTACTTCGTGACAGATTATGAAGGTTAAAACAATGTATCATTGATGTTGTTATTGTTGTTGTCTTGTCCCTGAATTTCATGGAAGAATGGTTACCATAGCCTCAAGGAAGTAATGCATCATTGATACATTATTATTGTTATGTTTTCCTCCACTTACAGGTTCGTGCATTTGGAGTGAATAACAACGACAGCACTTGATGAAGAATGAAAACACAATTTATTTGCCAGTATTACTGAGGACAGCTCCAAAATCACGTTTACAGTCGTCGAAGAGCTACTATAAACACGCGGAAACAATCAGCGACACAGCCTTCAGGTTATTAGGCAACGGTGAAGACAGCTTAACGGCAAAGCACCCAGAGTATAGCTTCCGACTCTTCTCGGTCGTTCTTGGAACTCTAAGTACTCTCCACACTACAACTGCACTCGACGATACACTAGATAACAGCTCCCGACTCAGTTCGATCGTTCTCGGAGCTCATCACACTCTTAAGATAAATAACTCGCGATACACTAAGCAGTAACTCGCGATACACTAAGAGACTCCCTCGATGCACTCGGCACTAGACTACGAGACACTCGCTTACTGACTCTTGAGTAGGCGCTTTCTGCGTACCGGCAGGGTTTATATAACTTCTGGATTACGTTCGAGAACATTCTGCACCAAACCGGTAAGAATTCATTCCAGAAGGTTCTTCAATCGTATTTGGCATATTGACAAATGTCGTCAAACGGGTGATTTCTTGCAAGATATGGCAACCTTGCCAACCATTTCTATTTTCTGGCAACCCTAAGCCTGCTTTGCAGGGAAGCTATCTTACCGCGGCTGGACATTTTGTAACATTATTATGATTTCAAATATTTATGAACATTTTTCTTTATTTCCTGCTCATAGTTTTAATTTTTTGAAGAACCCTTTCTTACTATAAAATTCATCAACATATTTAACAATAAGTACCGAAAGCAGGATTTTTGAAAAATGAAGTGTTTGCAGTGCTAGAAATTCTATATACAGTCATTTCTATTAAAGTAAATTTGGTAACATTCTGTAATAAATTTTTGAAATTTTCATGTCGTTTTGTGAATTTTATAGCATTTTTATTTATTTATTTATTTATTTTTTTATTGTCACAAGTCATTATTGATAATAGTCATTGCAAGCTACTGGACCATGAATTTCGAAATAGTACCCACATAAATAGCATTCATTCGAAAAGACTTTTATTTATAAATATCATTTATGCCTTAGACACATTCAAAGGGAGCAATTGAGTTTACAGAATTAACACACTACAGCATAAACTACATAAAAGGAAATTGGCCATTTCATTATTATTTTTGAGATTTTGTATAGATTTGTATAGCTCCATATCCACTATAAAAACCTGGGGGCTCATGATTCTGTTAAGATGACCTTCAGAGTTTTCGGTGTTTATGAAAAAAATTACAAGCATGATTCGTTAAAAGGAGGATTGAATATTTTAAAGTGCAGATCGTGGTGTCATTTCGAAATTTTAACTATGGAAAAGGCATAAATGATATTCTCCCAATTTTAATTTGGAAATTAAAATTTCTTTTCTTTGAATTTTAATCATAGCAACAACTACGCTGTGATTTAAAATTTTTTGGAACCTCTTCATAGGCAATCAGTATTGTTTTGTATGTCTGTGTGTTTACATAAAAATAAAAACACGCAATATATATATATATATTTTTTTTTTCAAAGAATAAATTTAATTCAATTAAATAAATTTAATTTAAATACAAATTTACTTGAATATTCTTTGCGCCATTGCTGCAAGGAATGATATTTAAATTTAAACAAATTTAAATTTTAACAAACATGTATAAAGTAAAAAGGCAAATTTAAGCCAAAATAAAGAAAAAAACCCAAATTTTTTTTAAAAAAATGTGCAAACATATAAAAGATTTAAATTCTCGAATAATCTACAATATCATTTAAATTCAGAAGCATAAGCAAATCAGTGCAAAACCAATCCAAGAAATAAATTCACGAATTTAGCAAATTAATTAAACCAAACATTTTTTTTTTTTTTTTTTTTTTTAAGTGCATAAGTGAATGACTGTTGAGTAGGCAGAGGACAGACTTATCAAGGGAGTTGCCTTCAAACCTAACTCTCCAATCATTCAATTAGTGTTTCGTCATTCATGCAGGCAAGGGGAAAAGTCAAAATCAAAAGTAAAAGAAATACAATAAAGTGGTACCTTAAAATTAGCATTTAAGAATTAAAGTTCTAAAAGGAAAATACTAATGAAGACTTTAGAGAAAAAAGTAAAGTCAAGTATTAATAAAATTTTTTTTAAAAAATTAAATTTTCAAAAAATTAATTTTCTATAAAAAAAAAAATAATCTAGAAACCAAGTATTTAAAACCCTTGTCTACAGAACCTCACCGACACGAATATGCATATCAATAAAAAGAAACTAAAAAAGAACTAGACATAATCCATAAAACCAATAAGAAAAAAAAGAACTAATTCACAATTTTTAAAAAACAAATATATACTTAAAAATATAATTTCATATTAGAAAATACTTAAATATACATAATAATTTTAAAAAATACTTAAAGCAAGTAAGTTTTAATTCTAACTTACCTACTATCTGAGTGTTGGGGTCTGCAAAAGTGTTTTTAAAGAGAAGTAAGTGTGTTCTTCAAATTATATAGATGGCGCTTATGTAGAGTTGAGTGTCAAGCTGCTATCTTTGTTATATTAAAAAATTTTTGCAAACATTAATATAAAAATATATAAAAAAATTAAATTAAAAATCCTAAAGGTAGTAATTATCAATTATTTAAGGAGTTAAGTAGCTGAGCCAATCAAGAGATGTAAGTTTGCTTGAAGTAAAATAAAATTAAGTGGTATTGTGAATAAAAAATGTAAACTGTTTGTAATGTGAAAGTGTGTTCTGTTGAAAAATTGTATAAATATTGTAAATAACGTTAAGTGAAAAATTTTTTGTGTGAAAATTGCAAATAATTAAAGTAATTAAGTAAAACTGAAATGTTTTAAAATTAAAGTTTTAAAGTAAAATTTCCCAAAATTTTTTTGAAACGAAGTCCTTAAAAAAACCTCTAAAAAATTTCCAGAAATTTCCCAAAAATTCCTTAAGGAAGTTAATTAAAAGTATATTTAATGAAAGAAAATATTAAAAGTTTAATGAACTTGATTTCAAGTAGTATATCAAAACTTAACTAAATACTGGCTAAAGTATGGAGTGTGTGTGTGTGTATTTAATTATGGCAAAGCACACTAGGGCTATCTGCCTAAGGGGAGGGATACCTTCGTGGAGGACTTTCTAAAGGAAACTGGCTCGTATGCACGTTACACATGGGGAAAACCAAGGCTAAAATATGGAAAATTAGAAGAAGATTATATATATATATATATTATACTGGCTAAAGTATGGAGTGTGTGTGTGTGTATTTAATTATGGCAAAGCACACTAGGGCTATCTGCCTAAGGGGAGGGATGCCTTCGTGGAGGACTTTCTAAAGGAAACTGGCTCGTATGCACGTTACACATGGGCAAAACCAAGGCTAAAATATGGAAAATTAGAAGATTAAATATATATAATATATATATATATAAATTTGCCTTATAATCCTTTGTTTATCTTTTATGAATGTGTTAGAAATAATGTAATCGTTTTTACTTTAAATTAATATTGAAGTATAAATAGATTGGATTATTAAATTATGGCAAAGCACACGAGGTCTATCTGCCTAGAAGTATAAATAGATATTGTCTATTAGCTCAATATGCAACTTGTTTTTGGCAGAAAATGTACTGAAAATAATAAAATTTGCATAAACTTCCAGTAACTGTCATCGCAAAAAACAAGTTTTTAAGCTGAAGGCTATTTCTGTTAACTTGATTCGCACTAAAAGGTTGAAATGAAATATTATATAACTTCTTAACCACCACACTAAAAAATTGCAGTTGCTGTTAATATCTTGTTTTATATTTATTGGCTAAAATAAATCTTTATCTTACTTTATATGTATTATCTTGCTTTATATTTATTGGCTAACATAAATATAAAGATATTAAGAGCAACGTGTTGTGGTCAAGAAGTCATACAATTGTTTTATTTCATTCTTTTTGTGCGAATCAAGCTAACAGAAATAGCCTTTAGATTAAGAATTTCTCCTTTATATTTTATTTTGAAGTTCTTTTCATTTTAAAATTAAGCCCTCCAGCGGCCGAGTGGTAAAGTCGCTGAACA